ATACCGAGATAAAATAATTATAGAAAAATTTGGTTTTGAAAATTTATCCGCTAAACCCCCAAATCTGCTATACCGAGATCCGCTATACCGAGACTCACTGTGTACACAAAAAGGGTATTAGCATCAAACAAGGTGATGAAGACGGGAGCAAAATCCTATTATAAAATTCCAGGAATCCTGATAAAATTTAGAATGTCCAATAAAAAATTTTGGAATAGGCCATTTTCCAACTACACATTTTTAATATTAATGTTAATACAAATTCTTTATCTGAATTATTCTTTTTAGTTTTATTTGAATTGTCCATTTTATTTGAATTGTTCGTTTTATTCAAATTATTTGAATTATTCATTTTATTTGTTTTATTCTTTTATTTGTTCTATTCATTTATTTGTTTTATTCGAATTATTCGAATTATTCGTTTTATTCGAATTATTCGTTTTATTCGAATTATTCGTTTATTCGAATTTTTTGTTTTATTCGAATTGTTTGTTTTATTCGAATTATTCATTTTACTCGTTTATTCGGATTATGTGTTTTATTAGAATTATTCGTTTTATTCGTTTGTTTTATCATTTTATTCGTTTTATTCGTTTTATTATTATTCAGTTTTATTCGTTTTATTTGTTTATTCGAATTATTCGTTTATTCGTTTTATAAAATATTAATTCACATCTTGATGCAATAAATTCTATATTAATATTATTGTTGAGGGATTTTAACTATTTGTAAAATTATTTTCCTTTAACAAGATAATAATAATTTATATTTATAATATTACTGCTAATAATATAGTTATTAGTACTATACATAAGAAAATGTCACTATTTATTACTATCATTACTATATAAAAGGACCACGAGGGAATTTATTATTTAATGTTATTAATATTGATAGTAGTAGTAGTAATGTGTAATAGTCGCATGATCGGTTGATTTTCTTAACTGGTATTACTAGTATAAAGAAACAAATTTGACTAGATTAGATAAACAAAATGTTGCAATTATTAATAATGAATTCTCATGCATCATAATAACAAACCAAATCAAAAATGATTGTAATAATCCTATATATTAATACCATTGTAAACTAACTAACTATCCATGATACCTACCAGTTGATTTAGAGACACAATACTATGATCCAAAAATGCAAGCATATTTCAAGGAAAACACAGCCTGGTTGCTGTTTTCTTCCTTTGAAATATAAACAATATTCAGATGGCTTCACTAAAGATAGAGTTAAGGAACATAGGAAATATAAGAAAACACTTGAAGATGTTATTATCCACCTTTTTCAAGAAGTAATTGACAATTCGATTGATGAAGCAGTAGCGGGCTATTGTAGTGAAGTAAAAATAACTCTTTCCGCTGACCAAAGAGTTATCACTGTCGAGGATAATGGGCGTGGTATTCCCATTGCCATCCACCCCGATACTAAAAAAAGCACATTTGAAACTATTTTTACTTTCCTGCATTCGGGAGGTAAATTCGAGAACAAGGTTTACAAAACTTCCTGTAATGAATTCCTATTGTTTTATAAAAAAAAATTTACCAAAAATTTGACAAGTATTCACACAAGTTTAACATCATTGTTTTAAAGGAGGTTAATTAATACTATGCCTTTTGTTTGTTTGATATTTTAGGCATACGTATTAGGTGGAGGATACTAGATTTGACAAAAGAAAGTCTATATGGGTGGGGTTTGACAGATCAAAAATATTCAAATTATATGGGTTCAAAAATTTTTTGATAATGATTATTAAAAAACTAGATGTTATGTATGTGATTTGTATTTTGTGAATTATATATTAAGATGTTCACATCTTGGATTATTATATTGTTAACAGAGGAGGAATTAAAGATGTACACAACATTTCTGAATCTGATCATACATGGAGTAAATCATTTACATTTTTTTCTTTCTTGATAGTATTTCAAATGTTTAGTGTTGATGATTTTTCAAATATAGGAATACAAGCCATTGAAACAGATAAGGCACATAATGAAAATAAAGATTCTCTTGCAAAAGTAAGGATTGGAAGATGTGCCGACATGAAAGGGACTCTTGCAAAGACTGCAAATAAGTTTATCAATGGTGAGGCTTGAGACCCCTTGGAATTCAAGCTTGTCAAAAAAAAAACAATTTACTGATAAGTTAATGAGCATTTAAATCATTGGCAAATGGGTGTAATTAATTGTTTATGGCTGGTTAGTTTATTGTATATGCAGAAACATGGAAAAGTATAGTATATGGATCTATACTAATAGATTATATTCCAATCATCAGGCTTAAAACTAAATTTTTATACCATGAACTGGCTAAGAGATGGCATATATAGGTTTGGAAAACTTGACAAATGTGCACTACCAGCAGAGGAGGATGATTGTAACATGTTTGAAGATGCATATTGAATCAGTTATTAGAAAGTATTATTTCATGTTTGGAAGAACTTTACAATAAGAATAAAATTATTAAAGGATACATTTCAAAATTAGAAAATCAAAAAAAAAGAAATATCAAGCTTAAAAAGTTTATATAGTGGCAAAGTGGGAAAATTAAAAGGCAGGTTTGGTTAAATAGAAGGAGACATGTGATTTATTTATTGATAGAACAAGTAGATATGTAGAAATCATAAAAGAATTAGCAATGAAGATTGGATATTTGAAAATTTCCATAAAAAGATAACATGAATTAAATTATCAAATGTAAAGTATGTTTTTTGAGGAATCTATAACACATTCTTTTTCACTGTGTAAATCACCTTGTTATGTGTGAAAATTGTTCTAGTGTGTTGAGTTCAGGTGGAGAGTACTTTCAGGATCTCTTAAATTTTTAAAATTTATTTTATTTTATATTTTAATATTTTCATAAAATACTTACTGATTTAAAATAATGGTAGCAATAGTGTAAGTAGGTAGTAGTATCAAAATGTATATAATTAATAAAAATATTTGAAATTGTAAGAATTGAGAAATGTCAATTAATATACATATATTATTAAAGTATTAAATTCCCGATTATGTTTTTATTATTTTGATAAAATGGTAAGGTCCTCTCCAGTCATTGATTAAGACACTTAAAGAATCCCTGTTGTAAAAATCAACATCTTGGATAAAATGTATATCTTCTAAACATCTTGGTAATGTCTGATTCAAAGTTGTTATTATTTTATCACCATTAAATATATATTTCCAATGGGGTGCTTTTAATTTAATGTATTTTAACTTATCACAATTTTTGAATATTTCTAATAACCATTTATCTAACTCATTATTGTAAAAGATGGATAACTTTTCAAGATTTTGACAATGTTGACTAATTGATTGAAATAATTCTCCTAAACAATCTTTATCTTTTGGATCACCATTAATATGCAAAGTTTTTAAATTCTTTCCATTGACTTTAATAAAATCTGACATGTTTGATAGAAATGGCTGATAAGTGATATATAAATCTACTGTTTCAATATTTGGAAATGAAATAGATTTGATAGATTCCAAGACTTCTATTTTGTATTCAGATAATTTTAATTTTAAAATCTTTAAATTGCGAAATGTTCCTATTAAAGAATCCAAATCAGTTTCTCCTCGACCTTCATAATAGACTATTGATTGTGAATGGATTGATAAGACTTCTTTTAAATTGTTTGATAAAATTGGATTATTATAGCCACCATGTAGGATTAATTTTTTGATTCGCTTTTGAGCTTTAATTAATTGTGCTAATCTATAACTGGATTTCTCATTAAATGAACGGAAATATATTCTTAAAGTTTGAATATTTTTACAAGTATTAGCTAATCTATAGAAAAATTCAGATTTATTTGAAAGATCACAGGTTAATTCACCAAGTTTCTGGAACCACATATCAAATCCATGATGGTTAACCAACCAATTGCAATTATTTTCAAAGATTGCAAATTCTCTAATGGTTGAATATTCTAAAACAAATTCTAGTAATCTTTTTCTTAAACATTGGTTTGTGTCTACTATCTCATCTAATGCATCGTTAAAATCTTGGTCAAAATCCAAGTAAGTAGCAAACATACCATAATTGTGCATTGGTGGTTT